TGTTCAACGAACACCAAGGTAATGTACTCCTTCGAAAAAAAAAACTTTACAATTGTAAAATTAGAAGATTTTCTAGGACCACGCTGTATGCAGTCTCGTTTAGGCCTAATGTAATGCTTTGAGAAGGAAAATTGTAAAAAATGGAAATGTAGATGAATAAAACAAGAAAATACAACTGCAGTCCACATGTGGACTGCATGGTCCCACGTGGCCGAAAAGGTGCAGTCCATATGTGGACTGCATGGTCGTCAATGGGTTAATTGGAAATAAGTACGCATAGGTATCTGGTAATTGATGAAAAAGGTGCCAGCGACTCAGTGGAATGCGTACAGGTTGATCAGAAAAAATTGTGAGTTAGACGTACTCACTTGCAATTTAGGTTGATGTTTTGAGGAATGGGACAGTGATGTGAATTTTGCCTAAGACGGGTTCTTCCTACTTATTCACAATTTGGTTGTCGAACAGCTTTTTTCGAAGTTGCTTTCACCGCAACGGTTCGTTGCCAACGTTTTGACGACGTTTTCACAATTTTCCTCAACATCTTTGTTTTGACATCACATAATATATTATCAGGTTTTTCGGATATAAATGAGACTTTCGAAACTTTAGGAATTTCGAACAGCAATTTTTACAGTTTTGGTTACATTTTATTTCTGGCGTTCTGCTGTATATTTGACTTTATTTAATTTTTAATTTCTATAAAAGTTCTTTTTATTTGAGGTCATAATGGATACGAAACACATTTTGCGGCCTGCTCGCTGAAACACTTATTCGAATGGCCAAAAACTCCGGATTTTATGGTCGTATATTATAGTATATATCGGACTGAAAATGGATTTATTTCGACAATTATGCGATGAAGCGGGTATGAATCCCTACAGAAGAGCTAATTCCAACAACGTCGGAAAGAGATTCTCATGGAAAGAAGCGTTACCCTGTGCATGGTCAAACAGCAAAGATTGGTGAATTTTGAAGCGCCCGATTCCAGCCAAACCGTGACTGCCGAAGTATACGTCCAACAATGGACCATGTCAACATGGCTGTTCGTCATGGCGTGGAGGGGCAGTCTATCAAATTCCTTGATGATAATGCTCGACCAGATATTGGACTGTTCAGCAAATTCGTAGAGTTGGGCTGAAGAGTTTTGCGGCATCCGCCGTTAGTCCGCATTTGGCTCCTTCGGACTATCGTCTATTTTCATCGATGCACCACGGATTGTCGGAGAAAAAGTTCAACAATAACGACGAAGTCCGATCTTTGGTCGCATCATGCTCTGACTCACGACTAACCAAATTCTTTGAGGACGGCATCCTGAACCTGTATGATCGATGGCGATTGTCGATACTTGTGGAGAACATTGTTAGGAACAAAGAATTGCTACAGAAAATTTCGTGTTTGAAAGGTTGAGCCGAAAGTCTCGTCAACATCCGAAAAGCTTAATATTATAAAAAGTATCTTACAACGCTATCGCTATCCTAATAATGCATGTGCTGATATTTTGTTATTATGTGGACAGATTTCAAATCTATGTAAATTTATTTCTCACTGAGAAATGGGCAAAATCAACAAGTAATCATCTTTGCACCGTTGCATTTTTATCCACGACCCTCTAAGGGTTGCTCTGTCTACGCCACGGTATTTCAAAGCATGACCTTCAATTGATAGGTGAACGGTGCATGGCTTGTTGATTTTTTGGAACGAAAATTAGATTTGTTATCTTGAGGTTGGCCTTCCATGCGGGCGAATTTTCTTCAGAATATTATGAAGAAATTTTTTTCTCCACAGCCACAGATATTTACTGATTCGCTCAAGAAATACGCACTTCTAAACTTCTCTCGATGTTGGCAGTGTTGGCTCAAAATCCTATCGAAACAAAATGAATTCAGTTCTAGAACGTACATGCCGTGGAAATGAGATAGTAGGAGAGTAAGCAAAGCGGAAACGGAGGCAGTCACCGTCATTCCCACAATGTATCTGTCGAGCGTTCCGTTTACCATAGCACTTCGTATTTTTCCGTTTTCCCCAGTGAAAGCATAGAAACTGAAGTGTATTGTCAAAGAACGATGTGTAGCACTCACGACTTTTCATTTTTGTTAATCCTAAATCTTACTGTAAAACAGCACACATACTTGTTGTAATAATCATTCAAAACTACATCAAGTATGCCACGCCCGAGAGCGAACGGCGGAAATAGAACGAAAAAATCTCTTGTTAAACGATCAGCGTAAGCAAGATCAGGTGAGTCGAGTCCAAAGAGCTGAAATCAAGTATGCTCATCCATATAAATTGATACATTGATGAAATTAGATTGATGAATGGATTCGGGAAAGAATCAGCAAAAATATTCACCTGTAAGCAAAACGTCATCAGCATAAGGGACAAGGTTATAGATAAGGATCCTAATGTGACGACCATGTACGCCGTGGAAGCATTTGAGAATGCGAATGACACCTGAAACGGACCGAATATTCCACTACATAGCATTTGGTGAGTCTTCCACTTGATTTGTGTTTGCTTTATTATTTGTGTGTTTTATGAGAAACTCGCAGTTACTGCCTTCCGGCTTGAAGATTGCGAATTTTAAGACGGCTGACAAAAACCTTGGGAGGAAAGAGGCACTGGTGCCGCCAGTTCCTTCGAGATAACAATGAAATCCTGCACTCGGATAGATGACAAGAGCTGTGACAGGGGCTCTGTTATGCCCCCCCCCCCATGACAAAAGTCACGCCCTGTTAGTGCGATAGTGTGATAGCGGAACGGGATTGAAGACGATTGGTTCGAGGAGCTGATAAAAATTTATTAGGGCTGGTAAGAGGCCTTGAAGTTCAGTCTGTTACACACGAGAAGAAGTGATAGTAGATTAGCCCGACAAGAAATGACAATCGTAGTGGGAAGGGCCGTCCAAATTCAGACCCGTAAGAGGAAAAACTGAAATCATTCTATGCCACTAGATAAGAACACCACGCGTCATGGTTTCCAACTCTACAAGTGGTGATTATCGATAATCATTTGCGTTGAAACTCATCCAACCAACAATGATTTGAGCCTCTCGACCAATGATCCATAACAGTAAAGTTATACAACAGCAATTGATGATAAGTTTAGGTCGCAGTGAAGTACCACTCAAAGCTACAAACAACTGATATCTAAATCTCGAATTAAGATGAATAGCAACGAATTCGTAATGAGCCTTAACTTACGAATAGATTTTACATTTCACTTTTTTTTCGTAAGCCAACGCTATCGTTATAGTGAAGCGATAGCCTTAACTTACGGTTCTATCGCTGAAACCCTTCTGCCTCGCCGCTGCCAATATCGCAGTGTGTATTCAAATTTATTCAAGGAAAAGGATGAGAGATATTTTCAGCTGCACACAGGGCGACTCCAAACATTCGAACATCGAGATTGCTCCTGATGGCACTCTGAGCAGAACGCGGAAACATGATTTTAATGTCAAAGGAGCATAGCATGTTAGGCCGAATGTTGGAAGGAAAGCTCTTGGAAAACGAGTGAATCTGTATCAGTTTGTGATCTCAATAATTTGATGCCCAAAGTACCTCAGCCTACGACCTTCGCACTTATGCACGTAATCTTGAAAGTGCCAACTAAACGTACAGGTCCCGTCCGTGGCACCTTGCCATTGGATAGTTATGGCATTTTGATTTCAAAACCCGTCAATTGTAGAGAACAAGACTTAGATGGGTTGCATTTGCGAAGATGTGCGGTGTTATCTAATTATTTTGTTAGCATTTTTCGCAATACGACTAAAGTGTTATATATTAAAATTGATCCGGGCAGAACTGTGATTGACCTTCATCGACCTAGATGGGCCTTCTACCTTACGTGATCGCTTGGGGAAGGTAGCTGGTTGAGGTAAGAATAAATGCACGTAGTTACCAGGCTTCCTCCTCTCCTTGGTGCCTTGAACTTTTTTGTTGGTGATGGAATGGGCTCAATGTAATAAAGAAATGAGAATTCATGACGTATTTTTTGATATCATGAACGTTATCCACATTTTGAGGATCTTTCGTCATCAACGGGGAAAAGTCAGTGTATTCGATGGCCGTTTACTGGAGATGTTTATATTGACTGCTAGCAAAGATAGCTCTGATGATCAAGCTCTGATGATCAAATGAAATGATCAAGGCCTGGCTATCATCTGCTCATTGAATCAGGTATGCACTCAAAATATGGAATGTGCCTATATTAACCCAAGAACCACGCATAAGTCGAAGTCGAAGTCCATCGACGATTACTTGTTCCCTTTTTCCATCTTGTTACGTTTATGTTTGCCTGCAAGGACAACCTGTAACTGAATACCGAATGAAATTATGAAAGGGAAGTTTCGAAAGCAACATGCTATTAAAAATGGTGCGCAGGTAAAGAGTGGGTTGGGTCTAAAGAAAGATCGTTTGACAACCTGTTTGACATCAGAAACCGAGCTTTTAGACAAACTTTCACGAAACACTCCCACAACCTTCTGGTCACTTTAAGTGGGAGATCCATCTTTTCCTTACCATTGTGCTTGAGCCGGATGCTACTTCGCAATCCAACCATATGCGGATCGGAACTGGGGAAGGGCTACGGCCATGGCATCATGGCATAGAGGTCCCGCAGCGAATGCTTGTCAATTTTCGCCTGTAGATTTAGTTGGCTTCCGCATTCCGACCAAGCAGATTTCCGAGAGCCTTGAAGCCGACATGATCACATGTAAATTCCTCAAATTTCGAGGAACCGTGAAGAGAAGTATCCATTTATGAGGCTGCGCCAGTTCAGTACGATTGAGTCCAAGTTCTCCATTGTTGTTAGGAACATAGCCCGTAGTGCTGTGGAAATCTAAAAAAGCTGAGCCAAAAGATTAGCTGGAAATGGGGAATGACGCGCTAAATTAAACACTTAATACTGCATTTTCCCGTCAACCGTGATATTTATCTCTGGCGGTGTGTTCTACAGCCATAGTAGTAGCCCCATGCAGCAAGAGTTTTCTTTATACTACCATTCGTCTCTAATGGGTCAGCGCCACCGTTAGGAAGCGTTTGAAGAGGTTGGGCCTGGAAAACTGGGTTGCCTTCACGTACCTGCCACCCCCAATCCAAAGCCATGTATGGTTCGAAATTGGCTTCCACAGTAAATTTGAATGAAGGCCATGCCCTGCTGACAATGATTTCACTATTGATTACTGGAAGAATTCACGAAGCTGGCGTGAAAAATCCTTCCACAAATTACCTCAGTGAGTAGCAGGCTAGTAGCAGTGACTGATAGAGAGATTTCAGTGGAAAAGAATGGTGAGGGACTCTTTCCACGCGGAACAAGCCTTCTAATATAACTTGCTGGTTGCTGCGGGAGTGGTGTGTGACCAAGTTCATGGTCAGAAATTCAAGACTTTTCTTCCTCCGAAGGCACTGCATACGATGCTATAATTTTAGGGCGTCTTTTGAACTGGAAAGCGAAGGTGTAAAAGGAAAACAGTGTATCGGTGGCGAAGAAAGCGAGAAAACCGTCAACTGCGCGGAAAAGGGGTAGGGCTTCCTAGAAGAGTAGAAAAGTAGAGTCTGTACGTGATCACATGATTTGTAAAAAGCTGACGACATTACGCCCAAATTGTCGTTCCCTTTCCCTGTCTACAATGTCGTTGAAACCCGTGTGCACAGATTTCTCCACTAACGAAATTCGAAAAAAAAACCAAACCAATTTCATCGCGAACTATGCCCCTGTGCCTAGAACGTTCGAATTTCGAAGAAGTATGCTGGACGAGGAGCGGGGATGATGAGCAGAGGCCGACAAAACGATACATCAATTAGCTGTATACCAAACCAGGCTGCGAACTGCAAAAGTCATTAGGTACAAAAAGTTCTCTCCACTGAATGAGTAGCAACATGTTTTACATTTCGCGTGTGATACGGGCGAGGCGAGATCGCAGGTGGTTGTTAAAAAGTACATGGATAAGAGCTAATAAAGAGCTTAGAAATCAGAAGCAGTCGAATTCCTTACGCAATTCTAGTTGCGATCTTCCACGTTAGACTAGCGATTCAAAGTTCGGAGCGGGATCACACATGGATGCCGACAGAAAATAGTGATGTAGTGGGGAAGGGTGAAGAAAGGTGAATATATCGATGAGAGATGTTCAAAGAATGACTGGCACCAAGTTCTTGCCACCCTTTCTTGAGACGTACAGCACTGACCATGATAAGGCATCAAGATAGGGGCATGGAAACATATTTGGATCTGGATAAGAAAATTTGCAGATGCTATTCTGTTACGCCAAATTGATATGAGAAAGCTACCACACTTCGTTGGTTTCAAAACAACCGTGGGACTACAATTTGTTCTTTCAAAAGGTAGTCATCTTGTACTGTCGACACATACTTCCTACCATATTGGGATGTAAAGGGATTAGAAACACGATTATTTTCATATCCATGTCCTCCAATTCCATCTGAAGCCCAACGAAACGAATGCTAAATGCTCCAAACATGAGCACCCTGGCTGTGATTTGAGGAGCAATCAATCTCTAAAGATGAATAGAACGAAGATTGTGGAATAAATCCAGCTCCGCGTCGTTTTCGATCACGATCAAAATAAGACTTTTGTATCCCGCTTCGAGGCGACTAAGAATTGATAGGAAGCACAAATTTCATTTTTTGATTCAAATACTGCTCAGGCAAGATCGGTTCAGTGGGCCGCCTTAACGAGGTCGCTCAACAATCATCAGAATGAGAAGGCTTCACCCAATATTTTTAGGGCTGAAGACAAGATGATGATAAGAGCTAGAACCATTGTATATATTTCACCTCGGAGACTGGCTGAGGTGTGAGATGTGATAATGCATCATCGTTACAACTTCGTCAACCCTAACTTCGTGGACTATATGACAGAAAAAAACCGAACTGAATTAAGCTAAAAGAAATTAAAAGTAGATTATTATCTAGACTGAAATGTGGTAGCAGTAGGCATAGTCTATCAAATGATTTATCACAAACATTAGCGCCTACTAGTATCCACTCGCATCACATAGACGTACCGCATAAACCATAGGAATTGAAGATATTCCGAAAAAAGCCATGAGCAACGCAAACGCTTCTATGTTTGCGAATGTCTTGTATATCGGCATTCCAAACGTGCTGAAATGTGCTGCGTTGTTCTGGTTTTATATATCCGAGGGGTTCTCAAAAAAGCCTATTGACAGCATCAAGCGAACTGTTGTTTCAAATTTTATTAATCACGATCAAATGTATGTGATGAAAATACTGTGTGCATCCACCACAATACGCCGTCGTTCAGGGACAGGTCGTACTCCCCGTGAACATACTGGGGAAACGATTTGTGAAGAAACAATGTTAGATCACTGAACAATTAAGTTGCTAATTCTCCAAATATCTTTTGAGAGCAATGAAAAGATGATAATAGGAAGGGACTGGATAGGGTGACAGGAAAGTGGAGCCCATCTATAA